GCTTTCGAAAAATCCGATTTGCTGGGTAGGTGGATTGTGCCTGAGAGCGTTGAGTGATATGAGGTGCAATGATAGCTTGTAGGGCAATGGGAGCCAGTAAAAACAAGGTGTTTGAAAGATACTGCTTTACCACTCATTCATCTCTCAAACAAAAGGCAAAAGAGCTTATAGTACAAGCCTCGACCCAGGATTGGACTTCCAAGAGGAGGAAGAAAGGAGAAGCAGGGGCCTTGGCAAGTTTTATAGGATCGAGGCTTGAATGCCAAAGCCAGCATTCTCCACACACCCAATCAATTTTCAAGGACATGATAGACTAACAGAGTCATCATTTTCGAGGCCAGGACTGGCGTTGTGGATGTGAAGGCATATTTACACCAAACTTGGAGGACAAAGCATGATAGCTGCAATTTCTGTGCAGGTGGAAGGCAGACAATGCAACATCTGATTCTTCAATGTTGCAAATTTACAAAAGGAACAAATCGTTTCAAGCTATGGAACCACTCAAACTGCTCATCTTTTTTCGGAAAAAAAAAGGTAAGGAGGCATTACTAGAATTTTAACAATCCTCTAGGTGCATCAGTGTACACAAGAGAGAATAAATACAACAAAAAACATTGGGCAGATAGATGGAATAGCAAGTCTCAGATAGTGCATTTAGGGGAATTTCAGTATTAGATAAATTGTCATGGCTATATAGCTGAATACAATATGATTTAAAACAAGATAGCTTGTAGATACTGATACTACCGCTGCAGTGTTGCTTCGGACTAGGTCCAATACGTTGCCATCCCGATTTGTTGCTTCTCCTATCACAGTGACAAATTCTACCTCCTCGACTGTTGCCTACTCCATAATTTGGTCTCTATTACCAAACTGGCGAGTAGTCTGCAGCTGCCAATGTCGTGATACATAGTTTAAGTCCCCTCTGACCACCGCTGAGCTTGAGGGACTCCAACGAAGGAGAGCCTTTAGGGTTCTACTTGAAGCAGGAGCGCGGTAGACATTTACAAGTTTCAATCCGTGTAGCTGTGAAAAGCAGTAGTTAGCTATGAAGCCTGAAGCCGTAGGAAATACTTGTGCAGCACGACATCCTTTGCGTACAAAGGAAATCGCTCGCGACCGCACATCTTTTTCTCCGAATGGTTTGTGTATTAGAATATGATTCTCTTAGACAACTGATATAGGACTACTGGAGGTAGATTTGATAAAGTATTGGGTTAACATAAAATACTGAGCGTGTATCGCGACTACCACTCTGCACTCTCTCCTAATGCTACGACCTAGCTCTCGCTACACGCTAATATGGAACTACTAATACAGGGTATATAAGATCTCCAAACGCCTTACTCATTATGCTTCTAAGTAAACAATAGTCACAACCATAATTCCATTGTATTCAGGTGCAAGAATAATTATGTTTGACCAACAGTTATTTAATTTAACATTGTGGCTATTAAAGCCAGGGCGACTCTTTGCGATAAAGCCGTCGTTTTGGTGCTCTGTCTATGGCTCTTGCACTAAAAGATATTCATATTAGGGCCTCCTTTTCCTGCACTCTCACCTGACGAAAGGTGAGTTATCTATGACTTTCTCGAAGATTGTGGGGATTGAGCTACCTATTTATACATCTTGCATAGTTGGTCCTGGGATAGCGTTAATTTCGGTTCCGCCCTCCTATTTCTTCTTTGATTTTGCCAGTGCAGCTTCAAAGTTACGATTCCCTCGCTCCCGCATAATTTGGAGTTCTTCTGGAGTTCGTGAAACTTTATTTTATCCTTGACGAGATCGAGCCATGCATAATGGTCGATCGAATCGTGAGGTCCGGAACAATTTATACACCAGTGCACCTTGATTTTACAGTCTATTACATTATGCGCCTCGTTACACCTCCTGGATAGGGACTATTCTCAACACCTGTCAGTGGTGTCCCCTACAAACCTCCAGCTCTTACTGTGGAGTCTGCAGAACCGAGATTGAGTAACTAATTCATCACTTCGATGAGGATTCCCAATCGCTTTCGCGGTCCGTATCATCTTCGTCTCTCAGCATATCCCCCTATCACCACTACCATGAAGTTAAGATCGAAGCCCTTCTCATCACCCACCCTTGGTCATAGAATAGAAACCATCCGATGAGCTTCCGAAGCGTACCCAGCACCCGATGCGGAGATGGCGGATTGGATCAAGTCTGCCTCGGCTGTTACAAAGGGAGATTTAGATAAATATTCACACCTCACTTGGCTCCGATGTCTAGGACCCACCTGGTTGGGGCTGCAGATTTTTTGAGACTTTTTCCCGCGCACGCAGTTTCCATTGCTACCATTTTTAATTTTTTTTGGGTAGAAGGTTTCGTGGAAAAGGTGACTGAGTTCTATAGGTGAACTATGAGCTGAATGGCTATTCATCACGGGCAATATATCAATGAACTTTGAAGTAATAAAAGATAATAGAAGCACTATTCAAGGTGTGGCCTGGGTCAGAGTGGAGCTCAAGGTGCTAGATTATCTTTGACTCAAGTAGCACAATTAAAAGCATCATACCATCTGGATCTTGGCGCTTTCCCGCAGTAATGTTCTGAGTAGAAGCCTCGACATCTCGTACATTAATCAATGACTCGCTGTGGTATGAAGGTGTTACGGTTTAATCGTTGTTCACGCTTAGGTGAATACCTAAGCGTAATGTTGGGAATATTCACGACAAGGCTGCCCGGGGAGGGATAAATGAAGCTAAATAATACGGCACTACTATTCAGGAGGTCGAAGCGATACTACAACTAAGTGACACCTGGCAATGCGTGGCTGGGTAGCAAATATTGTGCCCAAGGATAAGGCATCAGTCTAGAGATTGACGAAGGGGACCAGTTCTTATGAATACCTGTTAATAGTAGCTAGAGTTCTCTTTTCTCCTCATATAGTTTAATAAATTGATTTATTCATGACTAACTCAGTTTCTGTCAATGAAGGCCGTTGTTGACCCGCTTTCATCAAAAAGTCTAAAGCCAAGCTTTGTCGGCTTACCCTGGAAGTGTATGAGCCAGCTAGTTGTTGGATAACCAGCCCTGGGATTTATAGATTGAAGCTGAATTGGTAGAGTACCGCACACTGCTATACACTCATTTATAACAATGTTGCTAGTGACTGGCATATTGGTAAACGCGAGTTTATTGTCCAATGTTCTGATGCTTGTTGGGACATGTGGTACAAGTTAAGACGTCCATTTCGACACTGTCTCCGACTAAATATTTTTCTTGGCTAGTGATTCTTTCGCTGTAAAGAGCGAATCCCTTATCTGGCTGGATGTGCACTCATTTGCGAATCCCAACTTCACTGGGTATGCTGCAGCAAAGACTAATAGGACTAGCCCTACTTTTTCCGTGACTAGTCGCTAATTCGTTATTGGCGATAGCTTTCGCCATTAGTGTTCTTGATCAAGGTGCAAAAAGATCTGGCTGTCTTCCTTGGAGGGGTCCAAAAAAATTGAAGACGTATTTTTCCCATTCGTATTCCGTTCCATTAATGGATCTGCTGGTGTAGGCAGGGTTGCTGATTTCTGAGCTACTGTCTCCCACAAAATCCTCGTCTGCTGTATCTTTGTGGGCAGGGCAGTAGCTTCAGTTGTAATCTTTGTTGTGGGCGCCGCAGGCGTTGCTGTATTGTACTTTATCGCGGGAAGTTAAATTTTTGATGGCATATTGGTGGTTGTGTTTCCCGTTGCAAAGATCGTGATGATTGGTCCAAATTATTCCATGAGTAGCGCAATTATTGCCGAAGTTTCTTCTTCCTTATTGGATTTCATCTAGGCGTCAATTAAGTCATGAAGCTCTGGTCTAGACCCAATCGCGTCTTCCTTTTATTTCCGGATTGCAACACAGCCTTTGTAATGTCCTGCAGACTGTGATGTATTACTTTCCTAGCGTGGTGGGGATGTTGTTACGGCCGGTGCATTTGATGGAGTCATCGCACCGATTCATCTCTGAAATTTGTTATCAATAGTTATAAATAAATCTGAATGATTGGCTTAGGCAGTTTTTGATATAGAATCGGATTTTGGTGAAAACGTATCGAGATTTTTGGAAGTGTAAGAGCATCCTAAGCAGAGGTGTCTAATGACACGAAGATGATGTACACTTTATCCAGATGGACCGAGCCTAGTCCGAAGACGAGCCGGAGACAATGGCGATGCAAAGATTTGCAGTCGGGCAGAGTCTCGCGGGTAAGGTATCCCGACGGCTTATCTAGCCTGAATATTTACCTGATGTCTCTGGACCATGGTGGACTTTTTTGCTGTGTATTTATATATTACGTGTCATCTAGGCAAAAATGGACTAGACGTCTAAGTAATTCGGCTTGTCTCGTCACCATTCTCCTGCCATACACAGATATATGTAGTTGATTGGCAAGATCCGATTTTTGGCGCGCATTGACAAAGTCTTTCTCGTCTCCCCAACATAGTTAGGGTTAGGGTTAGGGAAGCCTCCCGGCCCTTAATGACATATGGGATAAGCACTTGGCCTCAGTGATAAATTTCCTACTATAGCTAATAGATAAAAATGCGTTACGAAATCCCTCAAATGGTGCTACATAGTGCGAGGTGATTGATAAGGGCTGGAACTCGCACAAACTACATCAATTTGCCTTCTAGGGCTTCATCCTAAAAGCGGGTTTTCACGAAATTTTCATAGTTTTGGTCTCATGGCGTCGTTTAAATACCATGGGACGTTGGCGGAAAGTCAGTTTGATTGCGAGTAGCTTCATATGGCTCAGTTTTTAGAAGTTAAATCTGTTTAAAATTATCATTTATCGCATCATATAAACTTTTGATGTACACGTTACAGGCCATTATAATCGAGGAAGAGTAAGTGATGATACTTTGACCATGTTCCCTCATAGGCCGATGAGAGAGGAGCTTGCCATTTTCACATTTAACGCCATTGCACATCCCATAATTCCCATATCAGTACAGGTTTGCCACAAAATTAAACTTCTCTTGTGCACGATTCGCTTAAGAGTTCTTGACGACACCAACTTTGGCCGCTCGTAAAATACGACCGTTGAGCTTGAATCCCTTCTGTTGCGTTTGAAAGACAGTGTTATCTTCCATGTCTTTCATGGGTACCATAAACGTCGCTTCGTGCTCGTTTGGATTGAACTTTTCGTGTTCTTGGCTAGGGTCAAAGCGCTCGAGGCCGTGTTTTTTCAGCGTACCCATTAGGATTGTCTCGGTCATTTTCAAGCCGTCATGGAGCGCAACTAGGTCTTTGAAAGCATCCGTCTGATCTTGCGCTGCGAGTTTTTCAGGCGGAACCATAGCGAGGGCACGGTCGAGGTTATCTACAGAATCGATGAGATCCTTGGCAAATTTCTGAATTGCGAAATCGCGGGCTGCTTGCATATCACGCTTCGTGCGCTCTTGCAGATTGCGGTAGTCGGCAACTGAGCGCAGATATCGATCCTGAATCGAGACATTAGTTGGCTACTGCCTTGAGAGAATATTTGGGCAAGGTGCGTCGCCCCGCACCTTTGTTAAAACGCACCTTGAGCTCTATGATTTCGCGCGTCTTTGCCTCGAGTCCTGGAACTGTATCGTCGGACTCATCCGCTTTTTTTTCGACCGTGGCTGCGTCATCAGAATTTGCATTTACTGCTGCTTCAACTGGCTCTGAGGAGTACCTCCGAATTACCGAGGTAGTAGTTTGAGCCAAAGCCGGGATGGTCGGGCAAATGGGCCTGTAAATTAGAGCGGGAGCCTTCATGACTGTAGAGATACCTGAGCGAGTGATACGTCTTGCCATGGATTGCATGACTCTGTTGTTCATTCTGAGCGGAATCGATTTGTATTTTTTATTTTGTAGCAATTGAGCGAGGCAGAGGTTGTTAAATTTGAACCAGATTTGGCCGTGCAATATTATTTTCAGATATACATCGACAAATTTACCCATGAGGTGGCTCGTGCATCATTCGGACTCGGATTAGCACCACTACGAACGATGCAAAAATAATGGTCCGAGCTGACACTAATCCTTCCCGAAACACACATATCACGTCATAACATATCTTGAAATCCTTATTTGGAATCGCTAGAGTAATCGGAGTCTTTTACGAATAATTGATCTCTGTTTTGTGGTGTGAATTAATGGGTTATCATTTATCATAGATGACTAATAGAATCACTGACAACAGACAAGGGTTCCAGAGTTCATAATCAAGCTATGTGTCGGAATTCGAAGGTTCCGTGGAAAAAGCGGGTGAATTCCACGGGAAAACACCGAGCTGAATGGCTATTCATCAAGGGCAATATATCAATGATTTTTAAAGAAACATGAGAGGCAAGGAGCACTGTACATGGTGTGGCCTGGGCCAGAGAGGAGCCTACTGTGTTGGATAGTCATAGACTCAAGTGGCTCAATAGACATATGTGGCTAAGAGTTCATAAACTTTAACCACATCATTTCACCTGTGTAACGGCTGTTAAGCCTATATATTCCTGTGGCCTACGCCGTCTAGCGCAGGCAATAAGTCCAAGGGTATTTCGGGAAGGATCTTGCTATACTCAGAGCTTAGAAGATTCCCAATGAAACTTCTGGATGCATACAGAAGGTTCATGAGGATGACATGAATATCGAGAACCTTCTAGGGGGCTGTCGAAGTTTCAAAACAATTTTGGTTATGCAGGAAATCTTATAGAACGGGATTATCTTAGCTTATATATATAATGGTAGTCTAACCGCATGATTATTCTTCTAAGAGAAATATAATAAGTATACTGTACTTACAAGATTGCCCATGCATTTTGAACTGAAACCGTGACAACTTGAAATAAAGATTTATCCCGTTTGGCTACACAACTGTGCCTACGTCATCCTATAATCAAGCACCGTGTGGAACGTAGACAGATTATACTGCATTCAAAAAAAGCGATAATCTGATACCATTCTATCAGACATGCTGTAATAGCATGTACGTTGAACGGGTCAGCCGTGGAGAATATACCAAACCACCATATAGCCATAGCCGCTGTAGTATATTCCTTACACCTTTCTTCACAATCTCTTGGCTTGCCCGCTGGTCTTCCAACTGCAAACTCGTTGCCAGCGAAGAACATTATACCACTTGATGGCAAAGACGAATTCTTCACCTTTGAGTAGTGCAGGTGTAATCGCTCAGTATGCTCTGCATATCCGGGATAGCCAATAAGAGTCGCATCCGAATCGAAGTCGAAAGCAGACACATCCATATCTCCATTTGACAACTTCTCAATCATGCATCATTCACCATTATCCTGAGTCCTCAACCTCGATCTAACCACACATCATCTCGCCTCAAGGACCGATAAAGGCGTCACCCCAATTGCAAACAGGACCTTGCCTCATTGATTACCGGCCATCACTCACCACAAATTTACGACGCTGCGTATACCCGCGAGGAGAAAATCAAGTCGAAAAATACAAAGTTGGGGTCTTGGTTCATGGTAGAATAACGCTATAATGGGGCTATATATCTTGAGGAAGGACACGCGGCTAAGATATGGAGCTAGAGGGGGAACAAGTCTCTGAAGACCATGTTGGGACTGATATTTTCGAGGGGTTTTCAACTTTGGAACGTTTATAGGCGCCAAAATTGAGATTTCGGCTAAGCTGCCATACAGCATTCACGCTCTGTCAAGACTTTTCTGACATTTCAGCACTATCTTCGGGAAGGAGGCTAGAAAGGCAGAGTGTGAATTTCCCGACGTACCAACAAGTCTGCAGCGTCCAGCTAGCCGGCCTCTTCGGACGCATCAGAAGGGACACTATGTCTTCGGATTTAGCCCCTATGTCGGTATTAGGAGAGCTCCGCACCCAGTGGCTTTTTTGATTTTTACCGGCTGCCAGACAAGCGCAAATAGCTATTGTTTGGCTGGCGGGAGAGAGCAGATAATGAAGGGCAAAGAGCTCCTCTAATTGTACGATCGAATGAGGACATGTGAGGGGTGGTACACTTTGAGGGGAAGTGTATGGGAGGCATAGGAGGGGATATACGACTGGCATAGGCATCCTTGGCCTGTAGGCAGAGAGGACCTGCATGTCTTACATAGTCATAGACTCAGACAGGATAATAAAATGAATTAAAAATATACCACTCTCGAGATAATATTCGTCTTTCGCAATATCTTGCCTTTCTGTTCTTTTACTTCTTACGTGCATCACAAATATCTGCTTCTCAGAATTTTGCAAATTGGCCTGCCTACCCCTTCGGATATAGGTATCGGAGTGGGCGAGTAATTGGAGGCCAGCTCAGGCCAGAGACTGAGGTGATGAGATGAGTGACCATAGAAAGGATGTATTAGATTGATGTTGTAGTCGGGACAAAGATATTTGGTAATCTATCTCGTTTATAGTGAAAACTTGATGTGGTAATGAAATGATTATTGCCTCAAGGACCTGTTTCTTTAGTCCTGCAAAGTCTATCTGCACCTGGCTCGAGAAGAACATTTGACTCTCACGTTCGTAGACGTCAGTACGGGCAAGTTCCTAGTCTCTGACCTCCTATCTAGCAAATAGGGCTCCTCTGATTTGAGTCACATCTTGTACAGTGCCCTGTGCTCTATGAATAGAAATGAGATATTCTGTGAGTGATGGAAAGTCATTAGCTCAGTGATTGCTCGCATATTTCAATCTACTTTTCTGCAGACCCTCCTCCACAATGAATACCATAAAAATGGTAGTAGTGAAAATTGCGTATGCAGGAAAATTCTCAAAAACCTCTAGCCCTAGCCACCCAAGTGAGTATATCATCTACATCTCCTTTCTTTATAACGTTAGAGACCAACTTGATCCAATCCACCATTGCCATATCGGATTCTGGGTACACTCCGGAATCTCACCGGATGACATCTACATATGCAAGGGTTGACGATAAGAAGGGCTACTGTGGGTTTCGATCGATCACAACTGAAACAGGGTGGCGACAAATATAACTCGTGGCTCTACTCCAGCTAATCCGCAGAGTGCAATAGTTAAGCTTGAGTTCTATTAAATTTGTCTTTGTTGCATAGCGTAGCCTGCTACGTTTTGGATCCACACTACTATCCTATTATCTAATCTTATCGTGGTTAGCTTCTTGATTATGGCACTAGGGGGTTTTAGGGAGGGATAAATTAGAAATTGACAGCGGGAATAGCTGGCAACGGGGTTATCAGGCTTGGCTTTTTCAGATATGATTAGATCAGATTAGATTTTCATTGCAGTCCCTACTGAGTCTAAGACTTTGGAGGACTTCTTAAATCTAACTAAAGATTCTAATGACATTTAAAATTTCAAATTTTGAAATATGCCAATATTTGTTCTTATAGATATTGAGGGTCAAGCCCTCTCAGATATAAACAGCATACATATTTTTTGAATTGGGTCACAGATCAAGTACTTTTCTCTGGTTTTGTGTTATAGCTAGATAGCTACATGCACAGTAAGAATATGATGCAAGAAAAAGAGTATACTGAGTTACTACATCGGCACTCCTGAAAGGCAAAGAATTAGTCTTTGCCTGCAATTGACGATGTTCGGAGTTTGTAAACGTAGCAATGATTCTACTCAATGAGCTGCGAGCATTAAATGATTATCTAAATTTACCATCATAACATCTGAAGATATAATTAGTTATGCTATGTTGATTCTTGAACCTGCTGACCCTGCATTAAAATACCAAGAAACATATTGAGGAGAGAGGCATTTTTGTTGTTGAATCAAAAGAAAAGTTTGTGATGTTAATTCTCTTAATATGCCGAATCCAAATTAGTGCTGAAGAAACCAATGAGTTGAGAAGATATTATATCGAATGAAATTTATTGAATCATGTGTCATGGTCCCGGAAAGATATGACTTTAAACTCACAAAAGTTCCTATTTACTTGTACACAATCGATAGGAGTATCTGGATCTATCCTAGCCACTATATCTACATTCTCGCCACAAAAAGGCCACAATGCGGTTGCTCTAGCCATGCTTCTAGTCTCTAAGGCGTGACAGTTTATTTCAACAGTTAAAATAGTCACCTCAAATTTAGACCTGACAAGTTACCTTCGCGAGTCTTTACCTCTCAGAGGAGACTTTTCGCTGGCAGTGGTTGTCGGATTTTCTTGATCCAGGTACCCGCAGTGCATCTTAGTGAAATGATGGCGGGTCCCCGCAAGGGACTTGGAAGAATCAGTACTGAGAATGGAAAATAGACCCTTTCTAGACTCACATCACCGCGTGCTTGAGCATACATGAAAAGGAGTTCAGGAGTATCAAGAATGATAGCTGCTTCTCTACGCATTTGAATTGCTTCATAGCTTTCTTTCCTAATCAACGTTACTCGTTGGCCGTCGTTTCTGCGGAGGATCGCGAAGAGAGAAAGGTGGAATGATTTGATAACAGCCTATGCCAGAACAATATCAATAGATTATCTAGTACTTACGATGGTCGCTTTAATAGTCCCGAGTCATCTATATACCCACAATCATCTTCCGAGCTCGAATACATATCCTTATTCCGAGCCTGCCTATCTTGCAGTTTTGCGGGAAATGGAGATTGCGATCGAGAGAGTAGATTCGGATGAGAGCTGGGTGATTGCGTCGCAGACTGGGGGCGATGATCCATTTCGAATGATGTTTTTCTTGTAACGCGATTTAATGGTGATGATTCTACGCCAGAATTGCTTTGAATAAATAGATGGTATCAAGCAAAAAGTGTATGTTCTGAGTATCAAGAAGAAAGAAGCGGCGTAGTTCGCAAAAGTTTGGTAGCCTCTTTTATGTAGGGTGCTCTTTGAATTGCTTACGATTCATCTTGCAATTGATCAATGAAGACCTAATCCAAGGTGCGTTGAAAGTGCAGTTTAGCTGTATCACGCCCCTTTCGAAGAATCTCGTAACCCAGTCAATCTGTTCCACAGTAAGTTGTCCGTGATGGGAAAATAGTGTGATATCGTGATGGAAGGTTTCTGTTTTGCGCATACATTTATCAATAGAAACATAAGCTTTCATGGTTGTGCCTTACGATCGGCTAGACACGATGAGCCGGATTTTGATTTTATCCTCCTGCAGTTTTCCTCTGCAATGAATCGTGGTTCAAGCTGTTTCGGGACAGTCGTTTTTGAACATTTCACCCCAAATCACACACGCTATGCAGTCGGAACATCCCGCAATCCCAACACAATCGCACAAGTGGGACCGCGCTTGAAACGGCCAACGACCATACAGTCAAGATAAATTTCATTCTCTTGGCTTGAGCGGAGATATACAGGGTAACTCCTTAGTGGGGAGTTAGGGAAAGCCTTTCGGCTCTGGAAAACAAAGGAGATCCGGTAAGAGGCGGGTGATCAGGTCACTTTTGCAATATTAACCAAACCAAAAATACAAAAAATCTAAAGTGTAGATGTTCAAGGATTTGGGTACGCAAATCTTAAGAAAATGTTACTAGTAACTGATTCATACAGTCACGCCACATATGTTATGGCAAGAAAGATTCAAGCTTTACATGGCAATAATGCTTAAGATTAAGGAATCCTCTGTACACATCATGTATCGAGTGCACGAGAGTAAACGGAGAGGAGTGTATAGATAAAGTTGGATTATGTACCACTGCACCTTCCGGGCTCTTCTCCTAAACAATCTTAGGTTTCTTCAATAAACAACCCGCTTGAGACAGGAGATCACAGGTACGAGTCAGGCGAAACTTAACGACGTTTCTCGCTACGCTGGTGTTGATGAATAGAGAAGGTATTCTTGGATAATCAAAGGTTGTGAAAGGCCCCTTTAGAGGGCACTCACGAACGAGGGTCGGCTGGTGTGTAAGCAAACATACCTCATAGTGGTATTTGTAAAAGAAATCCAGAGTATTAGAGTCTCTAACGTCAAAAAAGTCATCAAACATATATACACAGCACTGATATGTGTCATAGATAATAGCTGAATACACGTTAGACGACATAAAAAGCTCCCACTAGAAAGTGCCACCCCCTTACATGTCCTTATATAGTCATAGACTCAGTAGGACAATAAACACGAAATGAAAAAACAGTATCTTCCCTCACAAAGGTTACGGCTTCGGCTACCTGAGCATTGGTAAGGCACCCTTCTTCTACTAAATTTATGAAGTCGTCACTCTTTCTTAATCCCAGAATAGGCACAAAAAGCTCTCTGAATCTAAGGACGGGCAGGGAAAGATTGTTAGTTGGTCCCTTCAGATTTTCTATTTTCCCATCCTGCCATACCAGGCTATGTAAGACGCCATTCAAGTGTCTGTGCTTCCAGTGAACTTCTCTGTAAAAGCTAGGATGGTACGAACGAGCCATGCACGGACGAAGATATTTTAAACCCCAACTCCATCGGTCCGAGGCCGGCAAAGACGAATTCTTATCTTCCAACGGTGCCGGCGTAATCACTCAATATGCCCTTCATATCCAGGATATCCAAGAATAATTGTAACCAGACGGAGGCCGAAAGCATACTTGGGCAAATCTAGGATCACTGGCCTCTTATAAACATCGGGTCTATGATTCTCTCAGAAATCTTTCATCTCAATTTAACCACAGAACATCACGCCTCAAGGACCGATCGAGGGCCTACTCCAATTGCAAACAAGAGCTTGCCTTGTAATCTACCAGCCATTTAATACTATCAGGTTACGACACCACATATCCCCACGAGGATGAAATTTAGTCGTGAGATGAAGAGCTCAGGATTATTTATGTGGGATCGCCGCTCTATTGGGTCTCTACGGCTTGAAGGACTACAGGCTGCTGAGGCTTGACATGAGAGGGGGAAGAAGCTATTGATGGGGATGATATTGTCACGAGAAGCTTCACTAGCTGAGATTGACGAAATCTAACCTTGTTGAATGAGATTGTCTGCAAGGAAGAGAACGACATTAGAGTAACTACAAAACATATATTTATAGTGGGTCGCTCTTTTCATTAAGCGAGGTCATGTGATTTATACAACTCGTCCGTTTCCTGACAGATATTATCGATATTTTTCGACGAGTTTTTTGATTATGGGATATTCGTAGACTCCAATGACAAGATTTCAGATAGTGCTATCGGTAATTTAAGAACAAGCGACGATAGAAGGTGTCGCGGCCCACATCCTGGTCGTCATCTCTCTCAGTTGGAGTTAGGGTAACCTAGATGCCTACCCCACTCGGGAAAGGAGGACTCTGAGGCCATATCTCCCGCGGTAGCTATATACAATATGGCAAAGGCATGTTAGGGTAACGAAGAGTTTTTACTATTTTCCCTTTGGATGTTGATGGTAGAGTGAAGGGTCAAAGTCTCAAGTATAAAGGTCTCGAGTGGCATTAGCGAATGCACCAACTACATGAGTAGTCCATGTCAAACTGAGTTATCTTCGTATATATTCGCCGGTGAAGGACTAGTCTTCTCCGTGTTATTCTCTAATAGTACTAATTTTGTGCCTGTCAGAAACAAAATCTATCTATCCATCGGCCTAGGATCAAATTTGGAGTCAATGCTCTAGCTTCGGACCATAATATTAGCGATTAATATAAAATTAGGCACTATTTCAGAACACGACCACTGAAGAGTGGCTTTCTATGAAGTTTCCGATGAAAAAATTGGCAGCTGTTCACCGATTAGTCGGACATAGAAAGAAAATGCGCACATATTTGAATGAGTAGTTGGTGAGGATAGAAGTGTTCGATGACCGGAATGCTAGCACTCAACAAAGCCTGCGTGATAATTCAAACAAAACTACCGACAAATATCAGCTCGTATATGCCTTAAAAAGAGGCATAATCGCTGCGCTCCTTAGTTCGAAGTCTGTCGTACGAGAAAGTCATGAACCCAAGTTGTACGACAAACACCAAACCGATCTAGAGCCCTGGACATACGGCGAGTTCCGGTAAAATTGGTCCTCTTAAACTTTGGCAGTTCGTGCCATGCGCAAATAGTTTCCCGAGAGAATTAGGCAGCTGACTTTGTCGGGATATGTTCAGGTCGCTTTTGTGGGAGGGAATATTTTCACCTCGAGTCCAAGTTAAGCAGCTCACAGTCTGAATAACTGTAGCGCCTTCGCTGCAAGAAAATCTCTAATAAGACTCCTTGTAACCGCGTTGTGCAGCAGTGCACATGTAACCAAATTGTCCGAGTTGCTACACAGTGACATACTCCGATGCCAGTAGAATACCCAATGCTGTGGCGAGAACTTGGTCGCCATGAAGGGCTCCCAAGTCCAAATCACTGTGCCTTTAATTCAGGCGCGTAGGTAGCAGGAAGCAAGGACAGGCCTAATCCTGCTAAAATTTAGATCATTTTCTAACTAAAATTAATGTTTACGGAATTAATGACCCAAGGGCCGGCGAAAGAAATGCGCCATGCGTATAAGGCTGTCTCAAAAAGTTAAAAGATTTTTCTAGGGATATTCCGAGTGTTCTGATACTAGAAAAGATTCAAAGCAAGCGTGGCAGAAATTGAAAGATGATAGTTGTACGACATATAATACCATTCTTTGATGTTTAGATCGAGGTTATTGTACCGTTGTTCAGAGTCAAATAATTGTCGAAAGGGCGCTAATAAGATGAATCGGTAAATTTTGCTTCATTTCTGCCTATTTTTTCTGTTATGGATGCAAGTGCAAAGTAGCCCTTGTTTTCTATCACGCCCCGCTCCTTAATTACAGCAGTGTACTTGACAACCCACTTTGGTGAAAGTTCACTTAGTTCGTTACTTAAGCACTGATTGATCTTGGACAATATATCACCTTCACCTCTACCGTTCCCGAGAAGCCAAACTAGTGAATCACGCGGCATCATGTCAGAACAATCTTGATGCGTGAATAATTCCAATTTTTCCCTTTTGGCAAGTTTCAGCAGTGTGGCATCAACAAAGAGGCAGTCATTTGCACTGATTTGATTAACCTCCGGCCGGACCCTGACCCGCGTCAAAAAGCTTGCGAGCCTCTCACCGCTAAAGTCTGCTACGCCGAGACTTTTTACGATACCTCGCTTATGTAATTCTTCGAGCTCCGCCCATGTATCAAGTTCTATTTCGTCGTTGCGAGATTTAGATGTTGAACCAACTAATGTAGACTCTGCATCCTGTTCCCAGAGTTTGTTGCTAGAGAATGACACTATGAGTAGGTCTATAAAATTCACGTTTAATGCTTTTAGTACTAGTCCTACAGCATCATTTGTGTACTTTTTACCATCAGCCAAATTCGCCTCTGGAAGAAAAAATAGCTTGACTGTTATCTCATACTGATCTTGCTTCTCCAATAGTCTACAAGCTGCCCAATCGACCGTGGGTATATAGTAGCTGGCACAATCTCTCGTAATCGATTCAAGTACTTGTAGAGGAAACTTTGAAACTCCGTTCGTGTTACTGCAGTCTTTCCTTTTTGCAGACGCCGTGGGTGGGGATAAGCTCTGTGCAGTACGAAAGTTGGTTAGGAGAGAATTACATAGCTCGCAATTGGCCTTTTCGGGACCAGATTGTCGAACAATGCATGGAACTGAAGAGATAATATTACTAGTTACTGCGTATTAGCCAAGCTAAGAATTAAATGAGGCATGAAAAACTCACGAAGTAGATAGAACCAGCCGTGTCATTTTGGCTGGTAACACATAGGATAGTGCAGAGGACCAGAATATGAAGAGATTTGTAAAAGATGAGAGAGTAGTTGGAAGCGGTTGGAAGCTTACTCCTAATCTAAGGGAGGCAAGCAATGTTTATCTAATCTTTGGCCAGCAGCTTTGGTCAATATCAAGTTTTCGGGACCGGCCTTGGATCAGGCTGGAGGGTCAGACGCTGAGGTTTGTTGGAGGGAAAAATGTTCCCTAGACATCACTCACCAAGTCGTTCCAACTCATCTAAGCATCATCTAACTTCACAGAAAATAGCTAAATCATCGCCCTCCTGACTGACCTCTGGTGTCATTTCACAATTTTCCAGAGCTAGCCGATTCGTAGAGATGAATTTCGTCGGATCGATACTAATCAGCAATCCTAGAATACTGTGGAGCTACGAACATAAATGAAATGAATGTATGTGACAACAAAAGCCGAAATTACGAAAACATGCAACTTCTTGTCTCATGATGGGATATTGAAAATAGAGCCCAAACACCATCGCCTCAGAAATCCTGTATGGAGTAGTCCAATAGTAAAGGAATTTTATAAGAAGAAATCAAGTGAGTGGCAAGTCTCTGAGAAGGCTAAGGGCTTAAAAAAGTAGGTTTCAAAGTCTGTGCAGCCTGAAGCTAAGGCATATAGCGACTCTGAAGTTTGGAAAGGATGGTGCAATTGTCGCAGCCTTGCTCGAATTTCAGCTGTATACAAAGGGTTTCAATTGTTCCAATGAAGCACTATCACGCGTATTTACTTTAAGGAGAAAATGAGATATCCAGGTCAATCAGGTGAACCTTTTTGGCGGCAGTAATTTTAATGTCCCTGGACGCTTCCTAGATGCAAGTCTATTGTGAGTTGTTGATTGGATCTTTATTCTCTTTCTTTTTATGACCAAGTAACTCATGTGGAACTTCACAAAAATCACATCTTACCTGACCTAAATTTGTGGAATTTCCTTGCCCACCCGTAAATGTGAAGTGAAAGCATACCAGCTTAACTATGAATGCTGAGGGGTACCGGCGGTAACGTTGGGCTTAACGTGTTACAAAAAGGTACAACAAGACTGGTTCGGCTACCGTAACACAGGATACACTCTTTGTCTCTCTGTTAACCAAACTGTGAGGGGTTACATCCACTGATAACTTGCCATACGTTCTACATCGCATGCTACAGATTCTGTCAGTACTCACTGCTCCTCATCAACCACATTCACGTGATATAGCAGCTTATCAACCAAGTCCAACGAATGACAGCGAGCTGAAACAGTCCTTGTAGAAGCAAGATCGATTTTCCAGCCTCCGATGACAGACGAAGGGGTCTATAACTCATGCTGTGTCGTCTCAATATCCGCTCCTGGACCGGACAGTATCACCAGGGCATTACTTAGACGTGCCTAGCCACTCATCGGGCCTCGGATAATAGCTCTATTCCGCTGGTGTGATAAGCAAGGACTACACCCGAGTGTTTTCAAGGAGGCTAATATTGTTGTAATTCCAAAGTCTGGAAACCGCAGTCAGGCTCTCCTAAAGTCATACCGACCAATAGCTCTTCTGTCATGCCTTGGTAAGGGACTCGAGAGATTCATGGCTCGCCGCCTCTCATCTATAGCGCTGATATTGCAGATCCTCTCACGTGATCAATGTAGAGCAGTTCCTCGAAGATCTGCCACAGACCTCACCCCAGCACTGTCGTGCGATATTCAGGATGCGTGGTCCAAAAAAGAGGTGGCTGGCATGGTAACAGTGGATGTTAAAGGATCATTTGATGGTATCCAATAAGGCCGCCTCTGTCACTGCTTGCGGGGTCCAGGCTGGCCACCTAATGTGGTACAGTGGGTGTCTTCTTTTATGTCTGAGCTAAAAGCCTCAATCATACTTGATGGAACTACATCTCCAACAATCGAAATCCACCGTGGGCTTCCACAAGGGCCTCCCACCTCTCCAATTCTATTCCTACTGGCAATTGAAGGCCTTCTCAATCTCTCTCCATAACGCTTTGGTTATGCAGACGATGTGGCATTTATAGCGTCTGCACCATCTCTCACTCGAGGTTCAGAAATACTCTAGAGGTAGTTAAACTCAACCCTCTCCTAGGGGCATGAGAACGGAATAACATTTAAATTGTCAAAAACTGAGCTGCAATATTTGCAACGAAAGCATGGATCCCCAGCAGAGCTCAGCGTACACGCTAATGAAGTAGAGGTCACTCCAAACGACCACACACGCTGGCTTGGGGTCATCTTTGACCAAGGCCTTCGATTTAGAGAACATGTAAGACAAACATGCGGTAGATCCTTGGCCATCACGAGCCACGTAAAAAGCCTCTCAAGGATTACTCGAGGAATAAGCCCTCTTATCTTGAGACAAGCACTTAAAGGAGCAGCTTTTACGACCTAGCTCTACGGGGCTAAGACTTGATATTTCAAAGGAACCCCAAAATGACATGTTCTTAGGATACAACAAAGGATGAACCACGCGGCCTGAGCAGCTCTTCCGGTATTCTGAACGATATCAGTTGCTGTACTTCTCCGGGAGACAGGTTGGGGCCCGGCACGAGCCTGGCTTGAACGTATTCACGATCGCCTAGCCGTCCGCATAGCCTCGGCAGATCCTAGGCACCCCCTTCGCAGAAGATGGAATTCCGCAAGAATGCGGTAGATCCGACAAAGAATTTCCCTAGAACTCTAAGAAGGTATTGTCTCCTCACCCTGGAAAGTTAACTGAGATACATCTTTGGAAAAGATTGGGGCAGTTGGTCGCAATGCTGGAGTCGATGCCTTCTCCGGTTGGTTTGATCTGCAATCAATGCTGGACCTCTATGTCCTCTCCGATGGTGCATTAATCCAGAACCAAGCAGGAGCAGGATATTCGATAAGATATGGCGCCTCTCACAAAATAGCTTGTGGAACCATACCTCTAGGTATCTTAGTAGAAGTTTATGATGCAGAAATTGCTGGATCTTCTGATGGGCTAGCGGCTGCCATCCGCAATCCAATGGAATTTTGTGCAACTAACGTAATGGTCTGTCTAGACAACTAAGAAGCGGCTCTACGGCTGCTCCTGTTACCCCTCACCGCAACAAGTTCCCGTCAAATTCTGAAATTCTGAAAACTCGCATCCAACTAGTCTGATAAGAAACGCGAATCCTACATCAGGGTTGGAACAGCTGGTGTCCGATGGTGCCCTGGATAATCTGGAATCCCTGGAAACGAGGCAGCAGATTCTCTAGCCAAGTCAGCTTGTCTAATTCCCATATCAAATCTCCTTCTGTCCATAGCAAGGGCTAAAAGGAAGGTTGCTCAGTTCTGCGAGGCCTCCACCAACGCTTTCTGGGAAAGAGAGGCCCGCCTAGATATAAAGAACTCGGAATCAGTCCTAGCTCAGGAATAACCCTAGAACGGAAAGGCTCAAATCGTCAGACATTTGGAGCGCTTATCGCAGCTCGCTTCGGACACGGAGATTTCGCCCTATATCATCGACGTTTCGCACACGAAGATACTCTAATGACTTGCTCCTGTGGCGAAGAAAAAAGCTCAGATCAGTTCTTCTGCAGTACATGAAGAAACTGTGCTCGTCTTCGTGGTGGTGTTATGAAACTGGGTTATGAGTGGATAGAGATATACTTGTCTTATTGGTTGATCAAGCTGTTGAGCTGTTGGGGTCTATCTGTAGGTGAGTTGAGACTGTAGTAGATGAGAGTTTAGAATAGTTGATTGATGATATCTACTTGCAGAGATTTTACTCTGTTATATACATGTCTCCCTCGCTTGTTTCCACTCTACATGACCACACCAGTCCTTCTCTAATTCCGACGGAGAGTTCCTTGACTCATCCGTATCCCTCATCAATTATGTGCCACTACATCCTAGACGTATATTCATGATATAGAACCCTAGAGATACTCTGTTCCCTAGTGGTGGCTCCTTGACTCAGTTGCATCACCCACTGACCATGTATCAGTCGAGTAAAGATAAGTACTCATAACATGATACTTCTGATACGAGGCACTCCTTGGCGATGGCTCCTTAACTTCGTTTTGTTGCTTGTTGTTGTTGCGTGGTGGCAGGGTATCCCAGGTATGGGACTTGTCGGGCACCACGCATCTGCCGCGAGCTGACACCTCTAGAACAGATTTATGATATTCACAACAGGTGGACCTCGACATCCTTGCCCCGGCATCAAATGGGTACTTTGCACGCCTTAAGGTACCCTCGTGTCACGGTTTTAGTACAAAATGCTTGAGAAATTTTGTAAGCACAGTATATTAATTATATTTCTCTGGAGGAAGAATTTCTGTAACTAGACTTAAATATAAATACACTCTGAGATACTCATCTGCTATAAGGTTAACTCTATGACTAGAATAATATGGATTCTTCGAAGATTCCCTAGAAGATTCTCGATATGTCTGTCATCCTTATGAACCTTCAGTATGCTTCCAGAAGATTCTTTGAGAATCATCTAACCTCCTTGTATTCCGAGTTCCTTCCCGAAGATCCCCGATGATACCTTTGGTGTCATTGCCTGCGCTAGCCAGCGTAGGCTACAGGAATTCTTAGGCTTAGCAGCCGTCACGCCTCGCCTTCGGAAAATGGATCGAGCTGACGAAGCTCTTCGACGAAGTCTAACGAGCCTATTAGATATTTTCTAGAGAAATTTTACGATATAGTGTGAAATTTATGTTAGATGATAGGATTGTCATGGTTCGAGCGTCGATGCTGGAGCAATCAGATGTAGGAAGGTAGTTTTATAATTTTCTCTGTGGCTAACCATAAAAGCAATACCTCAATTATTTATACATCTATGAAAATATCTATAGTACTCGTTCTTGGCTGATATCTGCTTCTCGCTTATTCCAGTCATAGTTGTTCCCAGTCTTGCTACCAATCACTAGAATATTCCAGTGAC